AAAATCTTTAAAAGGAGGTATGGGCAGCAAGATTTAAAGTGGTTTTAAAGGGTGAATGGTTTTTATCTTCATGCAATCTTTACATGTAGCACCCTCTAGTGTGCTACTAGAATAATGTAGTGTATCGTAGGTAAAATCATTGTGTAGGCCTCATGGTAGTTGTGTGAGTTTGTGATTGAGGTCAGGCTATTGCAGGTCAGCTGGATGACTCAACAGTTTGTGTCTCTATAGCCTCCTCCTGACTCTGGAGGACCATAGAACCTTCCAGAAGTCGGTAAGCAGGAAAAGGTGGAGACCTAACATGCATGTTCATGGGAGTCTGGCCAATCCCAGCTTTGGAGGCCCTGTTAGAGTGGTGGACTGGTCCATAAATATGGGAGAGTCAGATTGACATTGGAAGTCAGATGGAAGATGGAGTGCTGAGTAGCATGTTGGTACCTAGGAATGGTCCCCTATATCGGGGGGGAGGGCAGCCTCCAGGCTGGGCTTCGGAGGATACATTTAGCAATGAGGCGTGAATGGGATTGAGACCTGGAGCAGCAGAGAGGACAGTGTGAGTACAGCAGCACGCACTGGAATCTACACGGGTAAAGACTTCCACACTAGCAAGCTTTCTAAGGACAACGCTGGGCTCAATCCTTTATCCTTGTCCCTGGAGATCTTTCGAGAAGCCAGGAAGGCTGGCAGTGCTTGCAGGCTGTGGAGCTGGGAGCAGCTCTATAGAAGGAGAGAGATGACTTCTCTGCATGTAGTTACAAGAAGTAAAGCTGATTTTTGAGGGGCTGCTAGTTCCTCACCCATAAAGGGCAGCTGCTACTGATCTGCAACAACTAATGGCTTTCAGGAAAAAAACAGTCCAGGATCTGCCTTTGTACATAGGAAGGAAGTGTCCCCTTCTATTGATTCAAGCCAAATTGGACATCCCATAATCCCCATTTCCATATCCAAGTTGATTTCCCCTAATAAAACAACAAAACCAAGGCCATGGACCGGTTATTGTCTTTGGATGCAAATCTGCATGAGAAATACCTGTTGCCTGGCTGTGCAGAGAGAGGCTTAGGGATACCCACTACACAGCGACCCTCACGAGGGTAGCACTACATACATGTAGGTAAAAAACCTGTGTGCAGCCCCCCCCCCTTATACTTACCAGAGTGCATCTTAATCAATCGCAGCCAGTGAGGTGTGAGCATGCAAGAGTGCCCCAGAGCAAGCAGCTTGCTTTGGAGGCACTCAGCAGCTGGGAGGAGCCAGGAGCACCATCGGGGACCTGAGAAGCAGAGGATCAGGGCTGCTTTTTGCAAAACCATTGCACAGAGCAGGTACACATAAGATGTTTGTTATTTTTACCCACTTATTGCTGGTGGCTCCTACAGGCACAGCAACTTCCTCCTTCCAGGTTCAGGGCGCACGTGCATGTGATTAGACACAGCAGGATTCATGGCTGGAACTTGCTGTGTCCAGTCACAGCCCAGAGCCCTGTGTTGACAAACCACAGAGGGCTCTGTACAGAAGGGACGGTCCTTGTGTGAAGAGGAAACAAACAGATTTTTATTAGAAATCAGCATAGGTTACACACATTAACACTTGTTAGGCTCACATTTAACCTTTTGATTATCCCGAGATGTTAACCCCTTCCCAGCCATTCATTAGTACAGTAACAGTGTATAGTATTATCACTGTATTAGTGTCACTGGCGATGTCCGTGCCAATTAGTCAGTTTGTCAACATCCTGCACAGTGTCAGTTAGTGTCAGATTGCCACTATTACTAGTATAAAAAAAAAGTAAATAAAAGTTTTGCAGACATTATATCTTTCACACAAATATAGACCTATTGGGATTTTTTTTTCTTTCAAAAGACACGTAGCAGAATACATTTTGGACTAAAATTATGAAGAAATAATTTTTTTTATTGCATATGTTTTATTGCAGAAATTTAAAATGGTGGGGTTGTTTTCAATATGTTGGCTCTTTTTTCACTTAAAATAAAAAACCTAGTGGTGATCAAATACCACCAAAATAAAGCTCTATTTGTGTGAAAACAAATTTATATAAATTTCATTTGGGTACAGTGTTGCATAACCGCTCAATTACCAGTTAAAGTAGTGCAGTGCTGAATAGCAAAAACTGGCCTGGTCATGAAAGGGGTATAATTATCCGGAGCTTAGGTGGTTACAAAAAAAAATCTGAATCTTTAGTATCACTTTAATTACCATATTTTTTGCTCCATAAGAGGCACCTGACCATTAGACACACCTAGGTTTTAGAGGAGGAAAACAAAAAAATATTCTGAACCAATGGATGGACTGCAGACATAGTACAGGAAATGACCAGAGACTGCGGACATAGTACAGGAAATGACCAGAGACTGCAGACATAGTACAGGAAATGACCAGAGACTGCGGACACAGTACAGGAAATGACAAGACTGCGGACACAGTACAGGAAATGACCAGAGACTGCGGACACAGTACAGGAAATGACCAGAGACTGCGGACACAGTACAGGAGATGACCAGAGACTGCGGACACAGTACAGGAGATGACCAGAGACTGCGGACACAGTACAGGAGATGACCAGAGACTGCGGACACAGTACAGGAGATGACCAGAGACTGCGGACATAGCACAGAGGATGACCAGAGACTGCGGACATAGCACAGAGGATGACCAGAGACTGCGCACATAGCACAGAGGATGACCAGAGACTGCGGACATAGCACAGGAGATGACCAGAGACTGCGGACATAGCACAGGAGATGACCAGAGACTGCGGATACAGCACAGGAGATGACCAGAGACTGCGGACACAGCACAGGAGATGACCAGAGACTGCGGACATAGTACAGAGGATGACCAGAGACTGCGGACATAGTAAAGGAGATGACCAAAGACTGCGGACGTACTACAGGAGATCATCAAGAAAATACACTTTAGGAAGTATTCAGGTGGTGCTTACATCAATTTTCAGTGCAAAAACTCAATAAAAATATATATATAAAGTGAATAGAATTTTCCACAGAAAAGAATAATTTATAAAATTACAATAATTAATAATAATTATATTCCAAAAAGAAAAGTCCAAATGAATCAGTCCACAGGATGATCACTGTAGCAATCATGAATACAGAGATAGACGCGGTCCTCCATCTTGTTAAGGGTCTTCCATCTTCTATCATGTCCTACTCCCAAATCAGCTTTCCTCATCCCCCCTCCCTCTCTGTTGAGTTTGATGCAGATCAAAGGCAGCAAACTCATTGGTAGGGCGTCATGGTTATAAATCACACACTATCTGGTGCCCCTCTGTCTAGGAAACTCTTGCTAGTGAATGGCTCGTCAAGCCATAAACCAAGTCCTTCACTGAGCTCAAAGGGAGTCCTAAAAACAGACTTACATTTAAAAACTCAGTTTTTCATATAAGTTTATATCTTCAAATAGGACATAATTACATAGACGTGGAGCCCATATTCGGACGGCTCACTTTGAGACCGGTCTTCTGGTATATTACACTCCCTATCTGACATATACAGGAGAGCAGAAAATTATATCTCCTGAACCATTCAAACAGATATGTCATAGTTCATATCTAACCATTCAGCAGATGCGTCTGCATGTTAATCTACTAGTGGCAAGGCTGATAAATGCACCGAGGATAAGTTATGAACCATAATATGAGCTATGAGAGTTTTTGGTCATAGCTTGGGTCTCCACCTACAACTCCCTCCTCAAATGAGGTGATTGGTTTCTGCTCCAGGGAGACACCCTGTGGAGTTGCTAGAAAAAGCTAAGCTAGCATGAGTTGTAAAAAGTTGAAGAATCTCCCTTTTTTAACATTGGAACTAAGGTTGGGAGATAAAGCATCCTTTTGGCTCATGAAACCTGATCTGCTTAAACCAGGACATTTGGCAAGTACTTTAACCCTCTAAACTCCTTTCTGTTATCTCTTTGCTGTGCTATTGCTTTCTGTATATTTATATATATTGGCTACATCTTTTTCTGTAAATATTTTTATTGCACCCTTTTGACCTTTTAATAATAAATCTTACTTTTTGAAAGTGTTGAACTGTTTCTAAAGCTCTTTAATGCAAACGGAAAAAAAAAAACCCTGCCTCTGAAGAGCGCTACTGTGTGTGTGCTTTAAACTTCGGTATATCTCTGCCTGCGGTGACAGTGGTATACCGACGATTATTCAAACATCATAGTGTTATTGCTGTTATTGCCGAGTTTCCTCTTTCTCTGTACAAAAAGGAGGTGGTGGCAGTGTGAAGGGTTAATTGCTTAATTAATGTGACCCAGTAACAATCGCTCCCAGGCTGCAGGTACACAGATTGTGGTCCATTAGCTGAAAAATCTTTGTGCAGGGTGCAGCTTGGCGTGGCATTGTTATGCACGTGACAGCGCGGTTTTAGATTGGCTAGTCCTTCGGTTACGACGAGTTTGGGGAGAAGGGCTGGGGTCTGACGCCACAATCGTCACAATCACCCCATGAGAACTTGTGCAAATACATGAATATATGTGCCGTGCTCCCCTCTCAGGTGTGCACTCACCAGAGTGTTGCCTCCCACTCTCATTTTTGGCACACTGGGCTTTAATAGACGATTTTCCAAGAAATGAATCAAACCACTATGATGTTTTATTTTCCTTATATCTTGAAAAATGAGAATTCCAGGACAGGTGCTCCTGAACTCCAATGTACAAATTCCTCCTTCTAATACGCCATACTCAAATGACTGGTGTTAACCCTTATCGACTTGTTTGGTGGAGGAACGTCTCAATGCGTTTCCTGGGCCAAGTGGCCTGCTTCTTCAGGAAGATACAGGGGTAAGTGTCAAGCATTAGGGCAGGCCAGAGAGCTTCCTTCATGTCCCAGGAGAGCTTGCTTGCACCTAGTCTGCTGTAGTCAATTAAAGAGACTGCGGACATAGTACAGGAGATGACCAGAGACTGCAGACATAGTACAGGAGATGACCAGAGACTGCGGACACGGTGCAGGGGATGAACAGAGACTGCGGACACGGTGCAGGGGATGAACAGAGACTGCGGACACGGTGCAGGGAATGAACAGAGACTGCGGACACGGGTCAGGGATGAACAGAGACTGTGGACACGGTTCAGGGGATGAACAGAGACTGCGGACACGGTGCAGGGGATGAACAGAGACTGCGGACACGGTGCAGGGGATTAACAGAGACTGCGGACACGGTACGGGGGATGACGAGAGACTGCGGACACAGTACGGGGGATGACCAGAGACTGTGGACACGGTACGGGAGATGACCAGAGACTTCGGTCCTTTGGGGAGCAGAGGAGGGAGGAGGAGCTGGTACCCAAATATGACAGGTATCCACTGCCACTTCTGCAGAGTTGTCCTCCCTCCCTGTCTTCTAGGACATGTGACAGGTCCCAGAAGATGGCCGAACCATTCACAAAGCGCAGAGCTTCTCGCGCATGCGCAGTGGGCACCCTGCTGTGAAACCGCAAGCTGTCACAACCGGGTACCCACAGTAAAGATGCCGGGGAGAAAAGACGGTGAGGACAGCACTGGACCGAGGAACAGGTAGGACTGAGGAGCACAGTAGAGCCAAGCGGCCGGCCCTGTATTCTAACATGGTGGTGGCGGGAATACCGGGCCAGCCACTCCATATTCGCTCCATAAGACACACAGACATTTTCCCCCATTTTTTGGGGGGAAAAAGTTTGTCTTATGGAGCGAAAAATATAGTATATTATTGGGGTATCAAGATCAGAATTGAATCTAAAAGGAGATGAGGTAAGATATATATTTAGAGGCATAATTTAATTCTAAACACCAGCCTAAATTGTGTTTTGAGTTTTGGATGTAGTTCGGAAGGGTTGAAGACTTTGAGGTTGATTTACTAAAGGCAAATAGGCTGTGTTCTGCAGGTGCAGTTGCTTTAGATCCAAGGGAAAGCTCTGAAATGAGGTGAAGCTCTGCAGATTTCTTTTATCCAATTATGTTTCAGCGAAAAGGCTGTTTGTTATTTTCCTTGCATGTTCCCCGCAGATCTAGAGCAACTACACTTTCAGTGCACTTCTAAGTGCACTTGCGGTGCACAGCTTATTTGCCTTTAGTAAATCAACCCCATTGTGTTTCTTAATTCCACTGAGCCAACTGACAGATTTCAAACAGAAATCTCCTCTGTGAGAACACAGCAATTAAAACCTGATGAGGGTCCAATCCCTTTCCAACTCCTTTATAGTTTAATCATTTGTTTTTGTTTTTTTTTCGCTGCACATCATGAGGATGACTAGACTTGGAGATCTTATCAGGTCTCCCTATTGGTTCCTTGACCAATATGAAGGCTCAAGAGTAAGACAAATGGTGCCATTCTGAAATTTTATAGGAAAATTAGAAATTGTTGGCCAGGAACAGTAGGAGCTACGTTTTGGCAGATATCATTAACTACTCATCAAGCCTACTCATAGGTTTTCTTTAAATGAAACGGGTCCAGAGTAGGGATGAGCTCAGGAGTGTTTAGATCCCAGTCCGAACGCACCCGAGCGAGGCCACCAGGATCTCTCTTCTGTGTAGGCCGATAAGTAGCCAAGTAAAATGAAAACATACAGAGGTAGAGGTTATCTTTTTGTAAAACTGCAGCTTAAAACAATCAGCAGGTCCACAGATAACTAACTGCAGTTAAACACAAATCTCAAATTTTCCTTTGAAAAGTAACTTGACTGCTAGAGTGGACATGTGCCTACAGACATTGGAGAACATGTGCCAAACTGGTTGTTTGTTTTCAGTATGGAACACCTTTATGAGCCTTAGAGTCTAAGTTCACCTTTTTTCCCCTAAATTCCAGCTCCCCTATGTACCTATATACCATTGATGAAGCTCTTTTGCAGAAAAATAAAAACACTCTTTGATTTTGAAAACAGGGCCTTACCTTAGCCCTTGCTGAATTTCTTAGAATGCTTCATCACTTGCTGGTATGTAGATTAAGGGCCAGTTCACACTACATGCGTTTCAGTTGCTTTTTTTTTTGCATCCAAAATGCACAGAAAGTAGGTTATATGGTTTTCAATGTCATAGTTCATATCAGTGCTTGCAGATCCAGTGCGTTCCGGTTGCAGAAAAAAAAAGTAGAACAGGCTGCATTTTTTTCTGCACAGAACTGTACTGGAACGTGGTAAAATGCATCGGAATGCTCCAAAAACACACTGGAACACACGTGTCCCTATTTAAATTGAACAATAGAGGGGGAAAAAATTAACTGGACTGCATAAAAAATGCACTGGAGCTCGTTAAACATGCGCCAGAATGTGTCAAAAACGGGCATGCAAAAACGCATCCAAAATGCATCTAGACTGAGATTCTATAGTGTGAACCGGCCCTTATGCAGGCCATAGATGGGTCGAAAATCGGCTGATTTTTCTTTAAAAAAATGAAAAATCAGTCGTTCAAGCGGCCAACGTTACCAGCAACGGTAAAAAAAATTGGCCGATTTTCATCCCGTCTACAGCCGGCAAAAAGTGTCACTGCAGAGAGCTCCGCTATTTCTTTGACAGTTCCTTGACATTTATAGCGGTTGCAACAATGTATTTGTATCCATTTAGGATACAGATGTTTTTATTCGGAAACAAATAGATACATTGTTGCAACCGCTATAAATGTCAAGGAACTGTCAAAGAAATAGCGGAGCTCTCTGCAGGGACATTTTTTGCCGGACTGGAATTCCTCTTCTTCTTCTTCCTCCTCTTCTTCTTTTTCCTCTTCCTCTTCTTCATCCTCTTCTTCTTCATCCTATTCTTCTTCCTCTTCTTCTTCCTCTTCCTCTCCTTCATCCTCTTCTTCTTCTTCTTCCTCTTCTTCATCCTCTTCTTCATCCTTTTCTTCATCCTCCTCTTCTTCCTATTCTTCTTCTTCCTCCTCTTCTTCTTCCTCCTCTTCATCCTCTTCTTCATCCTCTTCTTCTTCATCATCCTCTTCTTCTTCTTCATCCTCTTCTTCTTCATCATCCTCTTCTTCTTCCTCTTCTTCATCCTCTTCTTCTTCTTCTTCTCCTCTTCTTCTTCATCATCTCTTCATCATCCTCTTCTTCATCATCCTCTTCTTCATCCTCTTCTTCTTCCTATTCCTCTTCTTCTTCCTATTCCTCTTCTTCCTCCTCTTCTTCTTCTTCTTCTTCATCCTCCTCTTCTTCTTCATCCTCTTCTTCTTCTTCATCCTCTTCATCCTCTTCTTCTTCTTCTTCATCCTCTTCTTCATCTCTCTTCTTCTTCATCATCCTCTTCTTCATCCTCTTCTTCTTCTTCATCCTCTTCTTCTTCCTATTCTTCTTCGTCCTCTTCTTCTTCTTCATCCTCTTCTTCATTCTTCTCTTCTTCCTCTTCTTCATCCTCTTCTTCTTCCTCCTCTTCTTCTTCATCCTCTTCTTCTTTTTCATCCTCTTCTTCATCCTCTTCTTCCTCTTCTTCTTCTTCATCCTCTTCTTCTTCTTCATCCTCTTCTTCATCCTTCTTCCTATTCTTCTTCTTCATCCTCTTCTTCTTCCTATTCTTCTTCTTCATCCTCTTCTTCATCCTCTTCTTCTTCCTATTCTTCTTTCTTTCTCTTCTTCTTCCTCTTCTTCTTGTCCTTCTTCTTCTTCATCCTCTTCTTCATCCTCTTCTTCTTTTTGTCTTCCTCTTGCAGGTCACTGCTCATGTGCAGATTTTTTTATCTGTAAAAAGATTGTCCGATTTGCGCATCATTGCTGCGAAAATCGGCCGATTGGCAAAATCAGCCGATTTCTTTCCAACTTTACCAATAAAAAACATCTGCCAAAATACCGAAAAACGGCCGAACAATTAGCCCACTAACGATCCGAAAATTGGCCGATTTTATTTTCGGCTGACAAATCGGCCGATTTTCGACCCATCTATGGCCTGCATTAGGACAGAAAAACCAGTAAGACACAGGATTTCTTCAGCTGACCTTATTAGCACACACCTGTGGCTGCCTTCCAGCAGATCTCTACCACCCACTTCCACAGTTTAGCAGAATGTGCTGAGCGATTAGATAACAGCCTATGTGGATCGAGCCATATACTATACAATCTCCTTTAGATCTACCATCAACTATGTAGTGCAAGAGCCTGCCTGATTTTATATAGAGTAATTGGGTAGATGATGTATCCTCCTATGATATCGTATGGTAAATCTAGAAGAGATCTTTTATACACCTAAAATTAACTAGTTGCGCTTTCAATGCAATTAACTGTTAACAGCACACCAAACACAGAGACAACCATACATTTTGCCACATGAAAAATCAAATGACAAATGCAGCAAAACGTAAAAATGTGCAGCCCACATCACGCTAAAATGTCCTATGAGCTACTTTGCCACATGTAGCACAGCCCATTGAAATCAACAGGCTGCCCTATATGTGTCATGGGAAAAACAAGCCAAAAAGCATGTGCTCCCACTACTCTAAGTGTCAATGGGACCTGGAAGTGAAATTGGTGCATTTAGGTATAGCTAACTGCACAGAAAATGTGTGATTTGCCATTTGTTTGAGAAACGCGCAACAAATGTGCATCGTGTTTGTGTTGGCACTACATGTTAAAGGCACCACAAGTGCGGCAAATGCAGCAAAAACTGCGGTAATGCACCGTGCTCCGCTCCCCAAAACGTTCTGGAGCTTCTTCAGGGTGATTGTTGCATGTTCAAGTGAATGAGCTGCCCCATGCATGGCGAGTGAAAAAGCTCCAAAACCCTCAAAACAAACGCATGCAGGGATGTGAGTTTTTGCTATATGAAGATGTGAACGGGGCCTGACAACTGAGTGTCTCCATCCACTCCCTCCTATGTACTTGTATAAAGATGACCATACACTATGCAATCTGATTGTACAATTTCCTTTTTAGATTTTCCAGAACTATGGACCAGGAGGATACACCTGAACAATCCATTCAATCTGTATAAAATCAGACAGGCCATTGTACTAAATAGCTGATGGGAGATCTAAAGGAGATTGTACAATCAGATTGTATAGAAAGTGGGTGGAAGGTAGTATTGTAATGAGGGAGGTGTGGTCTGTAATGAGGGAGGTGTGGTCTGTAATGAGTGAGGTGTGGTCCAGAGTGGTGAACACACCCTATCACACCCTATTCTGTGATGCAACAGTGAAGTGAAGGCTTCTGGGAGATGGCCTACAGGAAGTGATGGAATTTGAAAATCATTTCAATAATTCAAATCAACTGACAAGATTTTAACCCCTAGACACCGAGCACACGCAAATATGCGGACTCTCGGTATCTGGGCCTTGACGCCGAGTGGCCGCATGTTTGCGTGCCATTAGAAAATACATTTGTGCTGAGAGCGTACGCCCTGCGCGCTCCCAGCACATATGTCCTTGACTCATGGAAAGGTCCTGATCTCCCCTTGCGATCGGGACCTTTTCCAATCATGTGACTGCCGTGACGTCGAATCACGGCGGTCACATGACCCTAAAAACCCCACCCCGCCTCTTGACTTCTGAAACTCTTAAAGGGTTGGGAGGCGCCGGTGCAAAGGGGTTAAACCTCCTGTGGGTAAGGCAAGTGAGAGAAAAAGCACATTGGGATGGCTGGGCCAGAAGTGGCATTGGAAAAAGCTTCTATTAATTATGAAAAGTGAAATTCTACCCGGAAAGGTGAACTTATCCTTTAAGCAAAGTTTTGTGACTTCTCATGGGAACGTTGTTCAGCT